TGACACATTGATGCTCATATGAAGCAACCTGAAGAAATATTTTCCATGAAAATACGTTAAGAATGCAAATAGATTTTAATAAGACTATAGTACATTTGAAAGACAAAAGAACAATTTTGAGTAAATTAAACACTTCAGTATGTGATTTGGAGTTACGAACTTCAATAGCAAAATCCCCGTTAAGCTCCATTTGGGTACTGACAATGCAGAAAATCTCCGACGCTCCAGGTGGTGCAGAACAGTCGTATGCGGTGTCCTATGGTAAGTTGTGGGTCTAAGAAAAGGGGGCAATATTTTTTGCCTACACCACCATTTTATCAGCGACATGTACATCAATAGCTGGTGCCACCAGGGACAAACAACTGCAGGACAGTGGTGCAACAGTGTACCCATTCACGGTACGTATGCTGTCGCGCCGAGGCACTTAAGAAAGAAGCCTAATGATGGGGCTGTACTGTTTACCTTCAGGTCTTCCTTTTGAAAGTCAAGGGCATCGAGATGTTGATGCTGACGACACTATCGCTGCTTAAGCGGCGAATCCCCGAAGAACCCCCTTTGGCACCGTCAGAGTCGCATCGAAGGGGATCATAAGCGATGGTATTCGCCTTGGGGACGACATCATCACCATCATTCGACGTCCACGCCATGCACTGGAGTCGCTGCTCAAACTGGGGGTGGTCGTGCACGTTCAGCGGGTTAAGCGGGTTCGACTTGGTGTCATCAGCGGTCAAAGTGGAAGAAACAATGGTGCCACTGCTCCGCGCGCCCCTATCACAACGCACAGTGGTGTGCGGCTGTGCTTTGGCGTCGACGTCGACGTGGGCCAAGCGTTGCCGCATCAGCGCCACAGACGACATCTTGATGGCTAGGCGATTGATCAGAGCTTGACAGTAGTCCTCATCTGTTATACGGGAATTGCGCTGTGGGATGGCAATGCCCCACTTCTGTAGTAATGGCTGCAATCCCTTCACACGCTGAACCACTGAAAATGGACTGAAGCAGTTTGTCAGTACAGCAGCCATAGCGGTAGCGGGGCCCGCAATAGTTCCGGCAGATGACAACAAAGCACTTGCGTCGTTCGACGTCATGTCGCCCCTGTCATCATCAGGCAATAGTACGTCAAGTTCTGTCCGCAGCTCCGCGTACCGCCGACCAGGGACGCTGTTCAGCTGATATACCTCAACTGAACACGGCACCCCGCGCAGCTTCTGTGGACCCAGGCTCTCACACTGGAACGACGCGCGCTCGCTATGCGACAATGACCACCATGCCCATTCCGTCAGCAGTATCTGCCCACCATTCCCGATCGCCTCCGTACGTGCCGCCATGTTCGACGTCTCCCCATAGTAGTCGATGCCCCCTGTCACAATGTCGTGGCGGATGTCACTTAGCCCAGTGTGGATTCCGATCCGTATACGCAAGCCGTTCCACAGCGCGCCATACTCATCCCGGGTCAGCATCGCCGTCGGAGGCTTGTACTCAATGCTTTCATCGCGGCGCCGCATCTCAAAATCACGGTAAGCTACATCCAGCTCGTCCGTGCCCCACAGGTTTCTAAGCATCAGCTCCTGTATTTCACAAGCTACCTGCACGGCCCTGTATACATCCTTACATGCTATCATAAACGAGTCGCCTACAGTCTTCACCTCGTAGCACTTGTGCTTCGCGATAGCTCCACGAATCAGCTCGTGGTGCATCGCAACAGCGCGTGGCATCAGCTGCGGTAGAGTCGCCCACAGCGCCGTACTGCTCTCAATGTCTGTGAAGACAAGCGTCACAGGCAGGTGCACGTTGCTCGGCGCGCTGCGGTTGTCCCGACTCTTCCTGCACAAGAACCACAGTAGAAGCATAATAAGCAGAATCAAGGCTACACTGCTGCCCACCGCAATGCCTACAATAGTGCCGATAGGAAAAACTCCATGGTTATTTGGCACTCGATATGATATGTCAGGGGTGGTGGGTGAGTAGTCATTCGGCACGGACGCGTCAAGCACACGTCTTATTGATAACATGTAAATGTCGCGCGCTCCGTAGTTATTTGTGACAGTGCAGTTGATGCTAGCACCTGTTGGTGTGTAATCACACACTTTCTTGTATGGTCCGAATTGCATGTCACCGCTGAGAACAATCGTCTCCTGAATGTAAAGCCGATCCAGCAGTGTGTCATCATCATTGGTTAACTTCATCAGCTGTATCAATAGGCCAGACACAACAAACGATTCGAAATCAATGGGTGTATGATACTTTTTGTTGCTGATGATTGAGTGGAATTTGGTCAGCAAATTGGAGTCATTGTGTGCCTCAGAAGAGTAGTCCGTCCAGAGCGGTAGGTTCGTAGTCGTCAACAGCCGAGCCTGCACATCTGTGG